GGACAGAGTTGAGTTGAAGCTACAACGTGCGGCTGAGAGAGACGATGATTGGCGCTCGTGCGAGAACATTCGCCAAGAGAGAGAGAGAGAGAGAGAGAGAGAGAGAGAGAGAGAGAGAGAGAGAGAGAGAGAGAGAGCAAGAGAGAAATAGATTGACAAAAGAGAAGAAACGCAGGGCAAGGAGAGGGCGGGAGGTACGGTGTGTGTCTCAGAAAGAGAGAAAGAGAGAGAGAGATGAGATGAGATTAACAACAAGAGAAGGTGAGAGAGAGAGGGAGAAAGATCGAGAGAGAGATGAGACGAACAGAACAACAAGAGTAGGTGAGAGAGAGAGAGTATTCCAACTGTGTGTCTGTATGTGTGTGTGTGTGTGTGTGTGAGAGAGAGAGAGAGAGAAACTAATATACATCATCGGATAAAAACAGATGGAAAGGTCAAACCCGGCAAGGGACAAAAAGCAAATCGGAAGTGAAACAGAGCAACCAAAGAACAGGGAGAGAATAATTAAGAAAGAAAACGGTGTTGTGAATCTTGCTGAATGCGATGAGAAAGGGCCAAATGAGAAACTAAATGAACTAAGATAGAGGGGAAGGGAGAGAGGGTGGGAGGCAATGTGGCCATACAGAGAGGATAGAGTGCGAGAGATGGTCAAATTAGAAACTAAATGAACTGAGTGAGAGGGGAAGAGAGCAGTGAATATTGCTAGACAGAGAGTAGAGGGCAACATTCACAAAGAGGACAAGGAAACAAAGAGAGAAATAGACAGAGAGAGAGAAGGAGAGGGAAATAGTTCAAAAATACTTCATTTCAATTTAAATCTATAGGTGCGCGAACAAGCGAGCGAGCGAGCAAGCGAGAGAGAGAGAGAGAGAGAGAGAGAGAGAGAGAGAGAGAGAGAGAGAGAGAGAGAGAGAGACTCAGGCTGTTTGTGTGAGAGAGGGAGAGAGAGACAGAGAGCAACAGCATTACCGTGAGAGAGGGAGAGAGGGAGGGAGAGAGAGAGAGAGAGAGAGAGAGAGAGAGAGAGAGAGATGTGAACTATCGTGTGTTGCCATTCACAATACAGCACGCTGTCAAATGCACGGCAATTTCCCAGGATATGGACCACGTCCACACAATCGTTGAGGAACGTTTGCTCATTATCGAGCAAGACTTTCATCACTGCAGATCAGGAACAACCTGCACACAAGTTTATAAAAGAACGCACTCAGACACAGAACTTCAGAAACTGTTGTCTGGGGAATAGTTACAATGAGATTGTTATCATGGGTGTGAAAACCTCAGAACTGGCCCTCGCAGCTGTCAATTTTCAAGTTTATCCATAAAGTCCACCAAGAGAAATTGGTCCACCACATTACCGATCCAACATCGATAGTTTTTGCACCTCCTTTCGAAATTCTAAGTGACCAATCACCGACCAGTCGACGTTGGCAGGAGAGTTGGAACGGCATGTTCGGTATCGTGGCAGGCAACCTGTCAGTACAGGAACGACTTCTATTATTGCGAATAGAGCAATAACAGGCGTGTTCGGTTTCGTGGCAGACAAATCGGTACAGATGCTGGTTCTCCGCATTAGTTAGGCTTGCAACTTAGAGAGAGGGTATCGTGATCCTCACTAAATAACTGAAACGATTCAAGCAAAAGAAATAAACAGTCTTCTCCGTAGTTCACGAGAGGCACAGTCACTTTCGCCAAACACCGTGCAACGGGGAAAATTAGGCCGACGCCCCATTGCACTTGAGAATACCCTTAGCTTGTGATGTATTTAGAAACAGGTAGCCCAGTCATGAATAATGTGCATAGCTTTGGTAACCTCAACGATCCTCCACATTACATCCGGAACGTAGACCACGATGGCAGCAAGGTCTGATGCTGCATGTGTCAAGAAGCCCGAAAAGCAAGTAGTAGGGAAATCTCAGGTGGAACAGGGCTGGAAAACCGGCAGCCTGTTGTTTCTGCTGTTCCGATTATGGACAGCCTTTGATGCAAATCCGACCATCTTTAACTTTTTCAGGAGTAGACAGAATGCGCGCTCGGGAAAACAAGGGCCTTGAAATAGAATTGCTGACAACCACCACTTCACACAGCATTGGAGAACAGAGACTCACGCCAGAATCAGGAAGAGAAGTGGCTTCCCTGCAGTAACCCGTCCCTAGACTGTTTGACGAGAGTGTTCGACAAGCCACCACTCCGTGCAGGATTGGAGGAAAGAGACTCGCATCGGAATCAAGAAGAGAAGTGGCTCGCGTCGGAATCAAGAAGCGAAGTGGCTCTGCTGCGGTTTACTAGATAGTAGCAGAGGGGACCACGTTCGATATTGGCATGACGTTGCCATGAACGATCTGCCGGTTTCATTGCCAGTACAAGAGATATTGTGCGCTCTTCAAAACATCCGGATCCAGACAGGCTAGCCAGTGAGGTCTTCAACCAAGAAGGCAGGAAAAGCAATACCTGGGACCACCACGTCATGCTTACGGTGGAGAGGGCCAAAATCGGAGAGAGCGGCAAGATGTCCCAGCAAGACAGGGAATCATCAATCCGCCGCAGAATCAAAAACAAAGCAAACCCATGATTCTTTTCAGACCAGACGAGCAGCAGGGGTAACCACTGAAGTATCAATTACAAATCTGGAAGTAGAGTTGGACGATCATCACCGATTCTGAGGTGATTATGAACCACCGAGAGTAAGATGATTGGTGCTCTCCCCCAATAGTAGTGAAGACAAAAAGACTAGGGACAATAAAGCAAACCCATGATTCTTTTCACACCAACCGAGCAGCAGAGGCAACCACTGAAGTATCAGTTACAAAACTGGAAGTAGAGTTGGATGATCATCACCTATTCTGAGGTGATTATGAACCACCGAGATGAAGATGATTGGCAGGTGCTCTCTCCCATCTCTCCCAATAGTAGTGAAGACAACGAAGAGTAGACCATTCTGACAAGAAAGAAGACAAACACGTTTTCCAGCTGCAAAAGACTAGGGTAACTGACATGAGGGACACCGGCGACTAAAGTACCCTCAGAAGTTCGGAGGAAACACACAGTTCAAGACATGCAGACGAGGACTGGAAATACCCTGTGGCAAAGAACATCCTCTGTAGACATTACCATCGCAAGGTAATAGTAAAAAGTTACCAACCCCAAAAGGATTACCCACTCTGAGGCATGAAGAAGAGCAGATGGGCCTTGTTCGAAAGAATGTTCGTCTGTCCAGTGCACGTTTACAAACTTAAAGACAATGGAAAGATATGACATCGAATGCGAAAAAGGCCTGCAAAAAAGGCCTGCCATGAACCGAAAGCAGAAGCAGGTCTTGAAAGATGAGCCAGAGCAGGTATTTTCAGCAACGAACCACACCGGATCAGGCAATGAACCACACCGGATCAGGTCATCAATCAGGACCGACATCCACTGGGCTTGAACTTTACGGCACATGGGACGAATGGAAATATCAAAAGCAGATACATGGGAAAGTAAGGATTCGGCGGCAGAAGCAGAAGACCGTTTGTGTACAGTGGCAGTGGCACATCTCGAACAATGTGCGCCAGAGTGGGAACGTCTCGAACAATGTGCGCCAGAGTGAGAAAGCTCCATCTCTTCTCGGACAGAAGAGAGTCGACCGTCTGGAAACCGACACTCGCCCATCTACAACTACCTGCGGTGAATGATTTCAGTAACACACGTGAAGCAAGAGGAGAGCAGGAAAACCAAGAAGAAGTCGGAGGTCGCAGAGAGCAGCACCAGCATTTCAGAAGTGGCCACAGCGTGTCCCGAAAAATCTTAAGTTCAAGGGAGAAGAGACCTGGGTAGCAAAACGATTCCAGACACAACAGAAAATGTTGGTAGAAAGGCGACACAAGAAGAAGAAGTGTGATGTAAACCTCAAGCATTCATGCCACATTAAAACCTGACCTTGACTTGTGACAAAAAATGGAGCTAATAAGAGATCTTCGATCATCACAATAAAAACATAGTTGCTCGAGAAACAGTGCAGATGTTAATTCATATATCCTCTTGCTAGGCGAGAGCTATGGGGAAGTCCATCTTCCGCAAAAGATAACAGGGTACAGCAATTTAGGACTGACCACACACACACACACACACACACACACGCACACACACACACACACACACAACAGG